CCTTATTTAATACCTATTGATATTACCTCGTCCAATATCTTTTCTTGCTGCAATTCGTTTAAGAATGCTCTGGTGTTCAATTTCAGCTTGAACTGCTTTCTTCGAAAAAGAGAAATTAGATGGACTTTGTTGTTTGTATTTCTTCGTTTGCGATTTAGGCGCTCTACCGTAGGCACTTTGAATAACATTTGGCGGCTTGTAAAATGGCTTTGTCGGTGAATAACGAAATCCACGAGAGTATGTTGTGATCGTCTCTGAATTGGCAGTGATATCTCGAGGCACAATGCTCGCAGTACTGGATGACCATGGGGATGTGCCCGGCGGGGGATAATACGATGGTGACAAAGGACTCATCCTGCTTGTAAATTGCCCAATGTGTTTTGTAGGAGACTGCTGAGTGCTGACAGAATATTCAGGCCTTGAACGTGATGCAAAAGCAATGTCTTCTTCTACTGTCAACTGCTGTCCTTTTCGTTGATGTTTGAGCCTGATAAATTCAAAGATCAATGGATAGGATTTGCATATTCATCTCGGGAAAAGGGAAGCCTGTAAGAAGAGTTAATCATATAGGGCACCAAAGCCTTTCTCTTGTCCCCTTACTAGTCATCTTCAGGAATAGAATAAGTTACTAGTTAGTCAGCTATTTGTTTCCAAGCGTGGGCCTAATAGTAGAGGAAGCCGTAACCTACCAGCAGTGACATGAACCATCCTATGGCAAAGAGAAGTCCGGCAATCCATAATTTTTTAGTCATACAAAAAACTTGATTGACTGGTATTAGCGGCTAACTAAAAAATTGAACTTACTTTGTATTGGATCCTGCAGCATACAGATGTTCAGGTGGTACAGGTGTGTGCTGTATTGTTGGTGGCGGGGGAGGAGGCGGTTCTCTGACTCTAACTTTGACAAAATTTGATCTTTTCCGTTTTTTAGTGTACGGTTCATCAAATCTTCTATCGTATTCTCCAACTTGTTGCACAACTTGTTTCCGACTCGATGATTGTTTAGGACGATGAATAATCTGTAATAAAGCATCAAGTTGCTCATCTCGGATTCATATCCAATGCGCACCACCTTAACCAGGGTGAAATAAATTGGACAGGCAATATTGAAGCAAAAAGATTTGGCTTTTTCAGTAGTAGTAGATCTTCACATATCATCATATATCAGTGGACCTCGTATATGGTTTCTACTGTAGTTTCGATTCGCAGGATGTTAAAATTGTGAGCTTATAAATGAATTCATCTCACTGGTTTCTCTGTCAGAAGTGGCACGAAATAGTGCTTCAATATCGGACATACATAGAAAGACTTTATGTTATGAATGCCACTCATTTTAGAAAAATAATAATAACACCATGCTGTGATTGGCAAATTGTTAAGACGTGAACTACATTATAAAACATACAGACATATAGTTAACAGTAGAGAGAATGTCTGAAATGCTTTTGGGAAAAAAAATTCCAAGGAAGGAGGGGATAAGAAATAGATGTGTATAATAACATATGACCACTAATTTGGTGTAATTTATGTTTTAAAGGTGCCTGTGTGTTTTATAAGAGGAGGCTTTTTCTGTGGTAAGTTGTGGCCTCAGTAACACTTACCTCAGGTTTCAGACGCATTTCTGGAAATTCTGGTAACCTGTCATCAAAATCTAAATTTTCCACTTTTGTATTCAAAACTATTTTATCAGTTGAAATATTTTGCTTCATTGGCAAAGGTCTGATGATTTGCCTGATGGTAACACTATTATCTTTATTCGGAGCTGTTCCCAATGATTTCTTTCTTTTCCTTTTAGATCTTGGTGCCGTCAAGCTTATTTCAGGAGCATTTCCAAAATCAATCTGACCTGAAAAAGTAATGACAAGTAAATAAATAGAAAAAGAATGAATGGCCGAAGTCTGGAGCAAGGCTGTGGAATAAGGGGGAAAATTCAAATTCGACTCTGATTACAGGTTGAAAAAATCATATGTTGATAACAAAAATTTTATTTGAGTGTTAATGTTAAGTGATGAACTTAATTCCTCTTAAACTTTTATATAAAATTTTGACCTACTCATCACCAGGAAATTTTGACTCTAGAAATTCATACTTTTGATCCCGATTCCCAGTACTGCTACAGACAATATTAAAAACCATTCGGAAAATTATTTACGCTCAATTTCATCTTACATACAGTATACGTTAGGCATCTCTAATTGTGGTTAAGAAATATTTCCATTTCTGGTAATTGGCAATCTCGCACAGTTAATTAACAGATCAAACATGAACTAATGAAACTAAAATATTTATATTCCTGAAAAAACAACAGAATTTTCAAATTTTTTTTCTATATTATATAGTATAAATATATAATAAGCCATGATGGAATACCAGATGAGCTTGACTTCATTGAGTACGCATCAACTTCTTCTTTCTCTTTAGCCATAGCAACACGTACAGTAGTTCCGCCAGGCAGATACACATATGAATCAGAGGCAGATGGAACATCAGTCATTTCAGACTGCATTTCTTGGACTGTGCAATAGAAGATTGAAATGATTCTTAGTAAATTACTGAGAAAGCTGAAATTCCAGTTTAATAGAAAAGTATCATAAAGTTAACCCCTGTCCTAGTTTAATCACTCAAAATGCATAGATGAACTAATTTTATCGTCAGCAAGTCAAGTCCATGCATCTGAAACAAATGAATGGGTAACTACCGTAACCCTATACCGATATGTACAGGTAAAAGACCATGGTACACCATAATGTGAATAATAAGCCACCTTATAGGCTTTCCTATCCCCAGGTTAAATATGAAAATCCTATCGCATTCAGCATTAAAGTCGATACCTAAGTTTGTCTCAACTCAGTTGATGAATATGAAGCAATACTAATATAATGAGGCATGTTTAACAGTTCATATTATGCCATTCCTTGTATCGAAAAATTTAAATAAATACAAATAAGAGTTGAAGACCTAAGAACATAATAACAATTCACATCTTATTTATAAACAATCAGTGGCTTACCATCAGCAGACACAATATCTGAACGGCCCAGATCTTCAGTTGTAGTGCCAACATCCGCAGTATCACTCTGCGTACTCAAACATTTGGCACAATATAACGATGAACGCAATATCCTTGTTCTGTCTTGTAACTCTGCTTCTGGAGGCTTCTCAGGTGGCTGAATTTCCTGGCTTTGTCTGATAATGGAGTATACATTGTTATATGATTTACACTCTGTAAAAGCAGACATTACAATTTTTTTTTTCACAAAACACATAAAAATATACAAAACATACTTACTTTTTCTCAAATGATCTGAAACACACAGTACTGGCATTCGATTGTGGCAAAGCAGCATTTTCTTTTGCAATTATTTCAGCAACTCTATCCGCTTCCTCCATGTAGGCAGTGATTTGCAGTGGTCTATCTGGCAGAGGAACTAATCTACGACCTTCTTTTATCCACTCAATATTGGATTCACTATTAGAGACATGCAATGCTATTGTTGATAGTTTTTCCTCATTAACAGCCCTTCGTATCTGAGATGTAACATACCAAAAATGATTCATACAAATATACAAATGATATAAATATTGCAAGCTTACATTTTAAGGTGAACAAGTTTTAGGCAGTGACAGCTAGTTGATAATTAGATGAAATTTTGTTCAGAGGCAATTGCATATAGGAGCGCATAGATGAAAGATGAAAAGATACATATAATTAGCATTAGGAAGTTATAAACAACATCAGTTAGGTGATCACCACCTTGTATATGGAAGGCGAGTATTAACAGACAATTAACAGGACAACAGATTTGAACACTAGAGGGAAAAACAGTTTTACTTGTAATCAACCAATCAAAGTAGAGACCTATAATTCAGCTAGAGCTTTCTTGGGATTATTATTGACAAAAAATCTCTGGAGTAAAAAGCCAACACTGGTGGAAAATACCCCAATATTTGGCATTATTTTACAACTTACCCGATAAAAGGATTTGCACACGAGTAGCCTAATATAGGCCCTTGTTGGAACATGACATTTGAGGATGAATAATAAAAGTTGAATTCGAATAGCAATACATTCAAAAAATTGAAAGTTTTTTGAAAACAATAAAACAAATGTTTTGATTGAAACGTCTCGAAATAAATATGATAATTTGCACCTCTGCTTTGTATCTGTCACGTCCAATTCCAAAACATGCACAAATTTCTGCTAACAACGATTTCTTCTCTTTTGTTAGATCTCCCTGCAATAATGGAAATGTACATGCAAATCAATAAGTTATTATTAAGCATGAAAAAATATTAAATAGAGACGTATAACTTGGATCTGTCAATGGCCATGCCTAAAAATAATTGATTCAAAAAACACAAATTACCTGTGCTCTTAAAGCACTGATGACAGCAGCATATGCTTCGAGTTCAAGTTGCCTCAAATAACGAGCACATTCATCTTCTGTCATGTCCAAGTATTTTGGATAAAATATCGGCCCTGGCCCAGGTGGAGGCCCCATATTTGAAGTTTAATTAAATATCTAATCCGAAATAAGCAGACTATTAAATCTGAAAAATATAATTGATAATTGATTCATCATTATTGAAGTTTATAGCAAAGAAAGAGTAAAATTTATTTCACATAGTACAAGCTTTTAATGGGTTATTACAGCTTGGTCAGGTATAGTGAAAGCTAGTAAAATATACCACGAGGATTCTGCTCTCAAATCTCTGACTTGATCTTTTTCAAGATCGTTGTAAACATAGGCCTATTACACCTATGGATTCAAAAGTGTAAGTAACATGAAATGATTAACAGTATGTCACATTATCACATAACTTATCCATCAAAATTTAGCCAAAATTGATTTTGGAAAATTATATTATTACGACCTATATAATTGGCAGTCTAAAAGCAAAGCTAAAATATTGGGTGAAATAAAAAATCCCAAATGAAAAAATTACATTACTACAATGCAGTATTAGTAATAGAAAGCAAATATAATGTGGCATTGGTTGATATTATCTAACTTAAAAATTCAAAACATGTGTATATGGACCATTAGTCTCTACAGATAAAACTTGTAAATTTCCGTACGTTCCAGATTCCGTTCGTACGTTATTATTGCGACAAGACTCATTTTTATCTTGAATATTTCTTAAAGTTCCAACAAAAATTCTATATAATTTTTCTCCGTCTGTTTTATTTATATTTCCATGATATTGCATTCGATTTCCTTTTTGTTTTCCACCAAGAGTTGCTTGAGGAACCACTAATATATCACCAGGTAGTTCAACAACAGAGACCAAAGAAGAGTTGGATTCTTCAGATAATGATTTACTGAGTTTAATATTACACACAGACTTTGCCATTTTGATAGCAGTCTCTTCTATAGCATCTTGTAGGAAGCAAACATATACTACGATGCCTCTTCTTATTGAAACGAACTCTGGATTCTCATTGGGAGCATGTGCATTAATTTGAAGTTTTGCTGAAATACACTGCTGGATTATGATCCGTGCAAAAAGTGACTGACCGTGTGATTCGTCCTTTGACATTTGAAATGTTGGTATACACCCTACATATGTGTGATATATAATGAGCTATAAAGCAAAAAAAAAGGAAATACATACTGGTAGTTAAGAATTGGGCCATATATACCGGTATATATTTGATATATAAAATTTAAAACAACTTAGAAAAATAGAGAAAGTATCACACCGACACAGTAAGGGGTATATTTAGTATATAGGATTATTTAAGTAGCCTACATAACTTTGCTAACTTTTTTGTGTGTTGAAAAAAATGATTTGTCCATTGTATATGACCGTATTAGTCCATATCCTATTACTTCATTTCTTTGCATATAGCTCATGTCGCATGTTTTTAGGAGAGTGAACACCTACCACTTCTTCTTGGCAAAACCTTCCATCTTGTATACATTCTGTATGTTTTAAACCTTATCTAAGGTTTTGTTTGCTCTCCTGATTTCATAATCAGTTTTTATTTATTTTTTACCAATCATTTTATTGTTATGCTGATTATGGAGTCGAAATATACTTATACTTATGCCTACCGATCATGAATTTTTTAGAAGTTCTGAAGTTTGTTTGTATGTGTAAGTTTATCTGTTCATTAAAAAATTGTTTTTGGAAACATTTATATGACACTAGGCCCCATACTATTTGTATATTTAAAATATTTTCTTGTGCCAATTGGCACTTTAGTAAAGACTATTTTCGCCCTGATAAATAATTTTCAGATTTTAGTATAACATATTGCTGTAGACTATTGTTTTTTTGATTTATTGATGTTTAAAAAAATTGAGCCTACTGGAAATTTAGCATGGTTTGATGGTGCAAATTGAGTACGGTCCCGATAAAGGCATACCGGTATACAGATAGTACCTGAATACAGGAATACCTTTACATAGGATAGGATTTACATATTTATCCCGGGGAGAGGAAAGTCGATAAGATGGCTTATCCATATGGCGAACCACGGCCTCTCGTCCGGTTACCATTCCAAGTTGGGTATGGGATTAGTTTTTACTGTATTGTTTGTTTTCGGAAGCATGGACACATCGCACATAACCATCCCTGCAGCTGCATGGGATTCGAACCTGCGAACCAACGCAGAGTAATTAGAGGTGCGGTGGCGAGCGTATTCCTAATGCTTAGCCCGTTGAGCCACACCGCCACATACTGACATACCGTAGCCCCCACCGCTGCTATAACACAGTACAGCAGTAACACAGGATTATGAAGGTCTGTTTACCTGTACCGGTAACTATTTAAGCCCTTTCAGCCTTCGTTTGCAGGTTTTTGTGTCTTCTTACTACTGTACTAAAATAAATCAGACAGTGCAGCAGTGCAGCAGGCCAGCAGCGACTGATGGTTGCAATTATTAACTCTTTTATATTGCTTTTACAAGACGAATAAACATGACATAGGCCTACATAGTATACACATAGGGAGGCGGACAACTCGACTACACGGACAACTCACCAGAGACAACTCGACTACCTGGAGACCTGGTGAGTTGTCCGTCTTTTCGCATTTTCTACGATGGTGTTTTAGGTCTATAGAAATGCGTTTTTGATATTTTTAGTGCTCAAATGTCGAGAAAAATACATAAATATTCTCTAGAAAGCATTTTTATTTGTATAAGTGGCTTATTTTAATCATGTTTCATGAATACAATTACAGTCTACAGACGAAATTGGAGTAACGTTAGCGAAGTTAGACTGTTGACTTATAGGACTATGTTCGTTAAATTTTATGAACTTTATTGGTATTAAATGTTTTGAATGAGCACATTTGAATATATTAAAACCTTTATACTTCACAGTAACACTTAAATATTTATGAATGTGAGCTTAGTAGTCTGTGGTTGCAGTAGTCTAAACTCGCCTACGGCAGTCCCCCGCGCCAACTCACCAGTCGAGCAAACGCTCTGCGACGTGACGTCATCGATGCTCGAGGTAAAGACAACTCGACTACCGATCAACGAGAGGCAGACAACTCACTAGTCGAGCAATCGCTCTGCGATATAGATGCTCGAGGTAAAGACAACTCGACTACCGAGCAACCTCACTAGTCGAGCAATCGCTCTGCGATATCGATGCTCGAGGAGAAGACATTGCTTTGCAAAACGCAGACTCAATAGTTGCATAGCATTTACTTAGTGCCGACTGATATTAGTTGTAAGCCAACTCACCACGGCAAGGTTTCAGTCATAGAGTTGGAATTTCTTTTTGCAGAAGAAAACCAGGAACAGATAGGCACTGTCGCTGCGCCTGGCAAAGAAACTGGGCCGAAGAATGGATAAAAGATGTTTACTTTTTGTTACGATTAATGAATTTAATATGATATTTGAATACTAAACGTTATGGGGAAATTTAATGGATGGAAGGTTTTGTTTTCTTTTTCGTTACGAATATTGAATTTTATTTGAATACTAAACGTTATGGGAAATTTGCTGCTTTACATACTTACTCTTTGCAATACTGCGGTCCGTAGATCCTTGAACACCTCCGAAGAAGAGAGTCCACAGATAACTCTCCTTCCTTAAACTGTTCCCAAACATGTTGCACCCTCTCGTTGGCTTCCGCATACCTGCCGTTGACACGCCCCACAACATTCTCTTCCAAAATATCCACAACGTCCGCCTCTATCCCTATACTTACCTCGTACATTGTTGAGATTAAACTGTAAAAAGGCATATTTTTCCGAGTTATACTGTTGAAATGGCGGTGCCAACCTTCCAGATGATTGTTGGTTCTTATTTCTACGTCGAATACTGACCAATCCTTGGGAGTCCAGACACTGTTGTATAATGTGTTTTGTGTTTTGAAAATATTCGGCGAAGTTCTTGAGATCTTGAGTATGCATCTTTTCTTTCAGTGATTTGAACCTGGACGTGATAAAGATAGCAGGTATATAGCACAGCGCCATGACATGCTTTATCAGGTCTCTTGTCCCAGCGTTCCTAAAACAAAACATGTTAAAACAAAAGAAGTGGAAGAAGTACAAAGACATATATATAAATATGGTTAACCACTCACTTGTTGTATAGGCGAGCCAAGTGCCAGATTGGTGATATCCATGCACGGAGATTAGATAAGGTGCAAGATCGGTGATAATGATGCCGCGCGCCGAGATTACTGCTCGGTTATCGCCGATTTTACAGCCTCATTATCGCCGGCCTGGCACCTTACAAACGTAAATACTCATTAGCCGAGGTCGTTTCCATCACAGTTTTATACTGAAACGAGGACGACTAACGATATATTAACTTCACAAAAACTACGCAAGAATTCAAGATGACTACTCCAAATATGGGCAAGAGATGTGACGACAATGTTTCCATGAAGCAGGAGGGACTCATCTGTGACGTCTGTCGAAATTGGTTTCATCGCAAATGTTTTAATAATTCAGATGTGGCAATGACAAGGGAACATTACAGGCTATTAAAAAACAGGACGTAACGTTTGAGTGGAAGTGCCTGAACTGCTACCAGGCCCAGGACACCCATCATGACTCCAACCCGATTGTTGTATCCCAGTAGATGGAACCTAGTCGCCGACTGGTAGACTACTCTGATTCCGAATGCTCGGAAATCAGCCCAATACCCAGGGTAAGTTGACTATTTTTTATGGATTATTTGTTGACCTATCTAGACTATAATAAACTAACATTCTTAATATATTACACAGGACGACGTCGCATTCCCAGATAGTCCGTGGTTAATGAATCGTTTAATTTGGCTCGCCTATACAACAAGTGAGTGGTTAACCATATTTATATATATGTCTTTGTACTTCTTCCACTTCTTTTGTTTTAACATGTTTTATTTTGTTTTAGGGACGCTGGGACAAGAGACCTGATAAAGCATGTCATGGCGCTGTGCTATATACCTGCTATGTTTATCACGTCCAGGTTCAAATCACTGAAAGAAAAGATGCATACTCAAGATCTCAAGAACTTCGCCGAATATTTTCAAAACACAAAACACATTATACAACAGTGTCTGGACTCCCAAGGATTGGTCAGCATTCGACGTAGAAATAAGAACCAATAATCATCTGGAAGGTTGGCACCGCCATTTCAACAGTATAACTCGGAAAAATATGCCTTTTTACAGTTTAATCTCAACAATGTACGAGGTAAGTATAGGGATAGAGGCGGACGTTGTGGATATTTTGGAAGAGAATGTTGTGGGGCGTGTCAACGGCAGGTATGCGGAAGCCAACGAGAGGGTGCAACATGTTTGGGAACAGTTTAAGGAAGGAGAGTTATCTGTGGACTCTCTTCTTCGGAGGTGTTCAAGGATCGCAGTATTGCAAAGAGTAAGTATGTAAAGCAGCAAATTTCCCATAACGTTTAGTATTCAAATAAAATTCAATATTCGTAACGAAAAAGAAAACAAAACCTTCCATCCATTAAATTTCCCCATAACGTTTAGTATTCAAATATCATATTAAATTCATTAATCGTAACAAAAAGTAAACATCTTTTATCCATTCTTCGGCCCAGTGTCTTTGCCAGGCGCAGCGACAGTGCCTATCTGTTCCTGGTTTTCTTCTGCAAAAAGAAATTCCAACTCTATGACTGAAACCTTGGCGTGGTGAGTTGGCTTACAACTAATATCAGTCGGCACTAAGTAAATGCTATGCAACTATTGAGTCTGCGTTTTGCAAAGCAATGTCTCTCCTCGAGCATCGATATCGCAGAGCGATTGCTCGACTAGTGAGGTTGCTCGGTAGTCGAGTTGTCTTTACCTCGAGCATCTATATCGCAGAGCGATTGCTCGACTAGTGAGTTGTCTGCCTCTCGTTGCTCGGTAGTCGAGTTGTCTTTACCTCGAGCATCGATGACGTCACGTCGCAGAGCGTTTGCTCGACTGGTGAGTTGGCGCGGGGGACTGCCGTAGGCGAGTTTAGACTACTGCAACCACAGACTACTAAGCTCACATTCATAAATATTCAAGTGTGACTGTGAAGTATAAAGGTTTTAATATATTCAAATGTGCTCATTCAAAACATTTAATACCAATAAAGTTCATAAAATTAAACGAACACAGTCCTATAAGTCAAC